ATTCACTCTTTCCCATGGGCAGGCAGGTGTTCAGCCATCCCCAGGAAAGCAGGGCTCCGTCACGTGTAACGGCGACTTGGGAAGACAAACGCCATTGCTCCAAACATCCCCCTGTTCCCTCTTTTTCCCCCAGCTTTATATGCTGAGCACGACGCCATATGGTGTGGGATATCCCTGTGGTCAGTTGGGGTCAGCTGTCCTGGCTGTGCCCCCTCCCAGCTTCTTGTGCACCTCCAGCCTGCTCAGTCGGTAGAGCATGGGGAGCTGAAAAGTCCTTGGCTAGTGTAAACACTACTTAGCAACAACTAAAACATGGGTGTGTTATCAACATTGTTCTCACCCTAAATCCAAAACACAGCACTGTACCAGCTGCTAGGAAGGAAATTATCCCTGCCGAAACCAGGACACACAGGATCTCTTTAAGGGGATTGAAGGCTTCTGTTTGTGTCCTCCTGGGTCTTGTGATGATTCTTTTGATCCATCAATCACACATTTGTGGCCCATCAGACAAGTGGCCTGGGGCCATTTTTGTTCTAAGCAAGCCATATGAATGGGAAAGCAAAAAGCCTGCCCTCCCTACCTCCCAAAATAGATGAGGAGCGCATGTGATGGGGCAGGCAGGCTTGCAGCCTTTTGCTGGCATGGTCAGCAGGCTGGGTGTGGCTGTGGCAGCAGCAGATGCTATGTATTGCAGTTTACACCAAGGTTGCTCATGGTCTGGCATGCGTTAGCCCCGGTGACCAAAGGGGCCTCGAGAAGTGGGAAAAGGCGAAGGTGGAGGGTGGCCCATGCTGGGTCATCAGTTTGGTGGGCTCTGGCATAACTTCTGTGGCATCGGTGGGGAGACTGTGGGGTTCTCGGGTATCAGTGAAGAGAGCTCTTGTGGTTGGAGAGTGGGTTTCTCCTCCCAGCAACAGCTTGCTTGGTGGCTCTAATCCAATTTGTGGGGCTCTGAGTGACAGAAAGACTAGTGTGATGCATGTTCATGTTGAATGCGTTCACACTGACCTTTTTACCAGGGTAGCTGTGAGCATCCAGGTAGAGGTGAGCATCTCAGGCTGGTTCTCCTGCAGCTGCACCAAAGCTTGTGCCAGCACAGGAGACTGGTGAAGGTGTTGTGGCAGGAGAACCACTCATTCCATCGCTTGTTCAGAGGACCTGTGGAAACTGGGCTAGACATGGCTGGAGTGCCTCCTTGTGTCCAGCCCGAGGCCAGCCTGACCTGCTGCCTGCCACCGTCAGCAGGCAGCTCCTTCTGGGGCTGCTCTCTCTCTGTGGACATGGGGCAGAAAGGCTGGACTGCCAGAGAGCCCGCTTCCCTGCTGACCCTGGGAGCCACCAGACTGGCAGGCAGGAGCTTGTTCTTGGTCCCCCTCAGCTGAGGGGATGCCTACCCCAAAGGGGCTCCCCTCTGCACACAGCCTAGCTCTGGGGAGGGACAGCTACGCCGTGAATTCACAGTACAGTGCCCTGGTCTCTGGCCTTTAGTGAGCTCAGAGCAGAGCCCCGAGAGGAAGGAGTGTCTGTAGCAGGGCTGTGTGGGCTGGAGCTTGCTCTCCTTGAGAAACCCCCGCTGAGAGCTGCGGAAAGAGGATGCCAGCTCTCTCACAGACTTTTGGGTGAGAAATTTCCCCAGGCTTCAGAGTCCCTTGGCAGTTTGGTGTGGTCCTGTCCATTCACATGCCAATGTCTTGCCTCTCATTGCAGCCTTCAGATGATGAGAACAGCGACAACAGCAACGAGTGTGTAGTTTGCCTGTCGGACCTCCGCGACACCCTCATTCTGCCCTGCAGACACCTCTGTCTGTGCAATTCCTGCGCTGATACCCTGCGCTACCAGGCCAACAACTGCCCCATCTGCAGGCTGCGTGAGTATGTGCCCAGGAAACACGGGCATCCTTCTTCCTCCTGGGCTCCTGTTAAGTCAGTACAGGCTGTGAGACGGAGCATGTACCCCACCCCAAGGCTCAGCATCAAACTGGCCCCTGGAGATTCCTGGCACCTAAAATAACTGTCCTCGAACAGGGAAGGAGGAGAGCACATGGGAGAATGGCCCTTTGTCCAGTGCCTCCCTGACCACTGGCCCTCTCCCAGGGATGGATCTGAAGGTGCAGGTGCTCTGAGCTGTGCCATGTAGGCAGTCGTCGTGTTTTGGTGAAGAAAATGGAAAATCCCCCAAAGGAGGGGACATAGAAGCTTTATCTTGAGAGTATCTGACTGAGACAGCAGCCAGCCCCACCGGAGGGCTGTCCAAGTACTTTGCATGATTTTATTTCCCTCTGACAACCTTACCTTGACTTCACCAGGGAGGCAGAGATGAGATAACAGTCAATTTGGAGTCCTTCGTTGTGCCAGGACAGTTAGGAGGGTCTGCTTAACCCCTGCGTTGCTCAGCTCCCAAAAGATGGAAAATTGAAATACCCGTTCTGACACTCAGGCAGCACTTCCTGAATTCCATGTCTTTTCTCAAAAGCACAGAGGCATAGGAGTCTTTTGAGAAAATGCCTGTGTTTTTGCTGGAATAGGCAGATCGTGTGTTTTACCCTGTGCTTGGTCTATGAGGTTATTTGATTGTTTCTAATTGATACTTCTCAGGAAAAGAAAAAAGAGCCTAAAACAGATGTTTGGCCTGAGAAATTAAGTCTAAACAGATCAAACTTGGCAAAGATGCAGTAACCAAAAGCAAGATCTTATCAGAGGAAGTGCCAGACGGCTTTGACTATAAGTAGCACAACTTAAAACACAGGAACAGCATTATCTCATCTGCATGCTGCAGCGGAGTAGGCTGTATTTGTTTGGAAAGTGCCCCCATGTCAGACTTCCTGGGAATCTGCTTCTGGGGAGTGCAGAGGCAGCGAGGATAGATTTGTACCTCTGTCCTCTGGCTCTAGGCTGATCTTGCAAGCAGCTGGGTGCAACTAGAAATGCCTGGGCTTTTCCTTATGTATGAGCAAGTTCTTACAGCTGCATCAGAACAGATGTCTGGCTCAGTCATACGTGCCCTTGGCACAGAGGAACTAACAATATTAAAGATCTACAGATAGAAAATGGGACTGCGGGCAGGGAGTGGAGATCAAAGCTGTTGTGGTGGGAGGACCGAGGGATCGCTGTGCTGGAGACAGGAGTTCAGCGCTAACCCTCTGGCTGGGTTTGCAGCTGTTACAGAGCCTCTCACCACCACAGTGCTGGCCAGTGAGTGAGCAGCCGATGGCAGGAGTGATGCCTCCAGCACCAGCTGGTCCCCGGGGCTGAGACTTGTGGGGTCTGAATTAACCCAGAGTGGTTTTGCATGAGGTCCCCCACCATTCTGTAGCTTGCAGTGTGCTGCCCAAGGCCGAGCTCATGTTTTTCTTACTGTGTTGTACAGTATCAGGCCTGAAGCACCTCTGTACATGACTGTACCGGCACAGGAAACGCCTGTTCTCCGCAAGGCCTACATGTACCCAGACTTTTTTGGCCAGCAGATCTCTCCCCAGTATAGACCAATCAACTAGAAGCCAGACCATAGCGCTTGGCTTTGGTGTGCTCTATGGTCCTGCTCCCCATGCACATGGGGAGTTCCCCCGTGCCGACGGCGTGTCTGCGGCGAGCTGAGTTGCTCCGGCACATGTCTGGCATGGCCTGGTCCTGTTTGGCCGTGTGGTCACCTGCCTGCTGTTCTCTCCTAGCCTTCCGTGCCCTGCTGCAGATCCGGGCTGTGAGGAAGAAGCCGGGGGCTCTGTCGCCAGTGTCATTCAGCCCTGTCTTGGCACAGAGTGTTGACCATGATGAGCACTCTGTAAGTACCTCGCAACCCCATGTACAAAGCCTGGGCGCTGGTCTCAGCCTGAGTGGGCAGCTTGTGCACGCATGAGTTGCTCAGCCTGATGGCTGGCATCCCTGGGACCTCAGGAGGTGCACTCAGGCCTTGGAGCGAGGTCTTCGTGAGCAGTGCAGCCTCCCTTGTCAACCCTGCTAGACAGCCAGGATCTCTCCTCTCGTGGATTAGTAATACGACTGGTTTTAGCCAAGTGCCCTCCTGTCTTTTGGAGGAAACAAATCCACAGAAACCTCAGTCTGAGAAGGTTTCTTGGGGCCTGTCCCAGCAGAAAAGTGGCAGACTCTGGGCATGACGGTATGGGAGCTGGGAAAATGGGGGGGGGGGGTTAAGAGTGAC